AAAACATGGCGAGACCATGCGAGAGCTCTTTTGGTTTTTGTTCTCCCTTCTTGCTTTGGTCTCCTTGGCTGTAGCGGAGAGGCCGCCGAAAGCATCCCACGAGAGCTGAACCTGAACCTGCTACAGGAAAGCTTCAACTTGCGATCTTAGTCCTAACCCTGCCTATCTCTGACGCCATCGGCTCCTGCTCTCGGACTCTAAGCATCCCTGCGACTCCGCTTGCCACGAGCCCGGGCCTCTGCCTCCAAGGATTGCAGCTCCTCAAAGCAAGCAGGCGGGGAGAAGCACAGCTAGCGCTTCGCGATGCATGCACGGCATCGACTTGAGTAGGACTGTCTTTCGTGTCCTTCCCGGCGGCAAACAGGCCTGTGCTTCCACATCTCGAACATGGCGCATCATGGCGCATGCTTACATCCGGGCTTCAGATCAGGATGCAAGCTGCACCGACGTGTTGCGCTTCATCAGACGACGGCGAAGCGTTCACGACGTCGCACAGCGAGCCCAAGGATGTGCCACTGAATACGAGGGAAAGCAATGCAACTGCACACTGACCGGTTTTGGGGTTGCTTGAAAACGGGCTCCATAGGGGATACTATAAGGCTGTAAGGGTTTCGGGTTTGAGGTTCCGGGTTCTTCGGCTCCTCCACCGTTCGATCCCGAAGCTCTTGGGCCATGTCCTGACAGAACGTCGGAGGTCATTCCGTACTAATTACGGTTTCGGGAGCAGCTGCCGGATCTCGATGAGTTGCAGAAGAGGAATGTCACAGTGCCCTAATTCTAAGATCTTCAGACAAGCGAGTGCCTGGAACATGTTGCTCCAAGTGCGCATGCGCTATGTTAGCTACTTCAGCTACAACACAGCTTTTCTCCAAGCTTTGCTTCTTGCGAAGCTCGCGCTTCGTGCCGCTCGATCGTACACCTGGGCTTGGCTTTGGGCCAGTGCATTTGCTGAGCCTCAGCATGCTAAGCCTTAAATGGGGTGGCCCACTGCTCAGCCTGGCAGCTTTAAGTGCCGTCGTGCAGACAGCTCTCGGCTCGGCATAACTGCCGGTCGAAGTGCTACCGGACAGACATATCAAATGTGTCGTTCGTGATCTGTCGCATGGGTCAGACGCCTCTGAAGAACGGAGATTCTCAACGCCCAGCGACTGCATCCCTTTGTCATCAAAGCTTTACAGTTGAAATACTCGACTTCCTGTGCAGGAGCAGGTCAGGAACAGGAGGACGGCCGGCTTGGCTTACTACAGAAAAACTCTCAACTGGCAACAGGCTTTTGAACGACTCCCATCGGCAGCGACCAGGGTAGCCGGGATACGCAGGGTCGATTGGATATCACATTTCAATTTCCAGGCTACAGTACATGGAGCAGCATCCAAGCCCAGTGCCAGCAAACGAAGCTTCAGCAACATTGCAAAACAGGTGAGACCTCTCTGCGTTGCGCAAGCATCCAAGTGGGAGGATGCAAGATGCGGTGAAAATCCGCTCACTTGATACACCGAGATTCAACATCTGGTTCTGCCGAATCAAAATTAAATTACAGCATGCAAACAATCTTGTCCCTAATCTGGTGCTGCATCCGCGGGCAAATGCAATTCTCAAACCTTGCTTGGGAACATCAATTTTTGCTTTTCTCGGCAGGTGTGCAGCACTTCTATGAGGAATCAGGAAGCATAATATTCTCGCTAGAGCGATAGCGGCTGCCCTTTCAGGAACGACTCAAGCTCAGACCCGTCTTCCAAAGTACTGGCTGCAGGCTGACCGTGAACTTCATCTGCGGCAGGTGCCCCCTGACCCTCAGGGTCTGCCTGTGCCTCCAGGTAGCCTGTCAAAAGGTGGCGAGCAAAGACACTCTTTCGAGCAAGGCGCTGCAGCTCGTTGTGTGCCCTGTCTGGCGAACTCTCCCGACTTTGTAAGAGATTGAGCATGGTCTTCTTCAGCCGCATGCGAATCTGTTTGCCTGGCCTCTGTGGGCCGATTTCCCAGGTCTGCTTGTGGATGTGACAGAACGGACAAGCATCCCTGTGGCACCCTGCAGAACTTGCAAAGAAGATACAAGGATCGCAGGAGCCCAAGAGGCAGAGGTCTGGAGCAAACCCTTCTTCCAAGGAAGGCTGAGCCTGATCGTCTTCCATGTGGGTTTGCGCCATCATCAGTAAGCCCCTAACAGGAACTGGAACCGAGATTCTGCAGCAAGTACAACATGCTGAGATGCCGTATCTTGAACATCACGAAACGTCTGATCTTGAAGCACATCGTGCCAACGACCGCGCTGATCACGAAGGATCACGAAGCTGTGCTCAGATGCCAGGTAGCGAGAAGACGGCAACGAGCAGGGGTGACCGGGTGGGAAAGCACGGAAGAGAGAACTGCCGCCCAGATGAAATTAAAGCTAAGGCTCAAACCACAGAAAGCTCCCAAAGGACAGTGGTACCCGCTTGAACTGACAGTGAGATGAACGCACACCACAACGGGAGTGAGATTGCGAACGACTGCTGCAATCGCTCATGATGTCTCGCCATAATCGGGAAAAAACGCCTCCCTCTGTTGAGCTGTGCCTGCAGATCATAGACGTAGATTTTCGGGCAGACTCCTCAGCAGAAGGTTCAGGGTTTAAGGTTCTGGGTTTAGGGTTTAGAGTTTAGGAGTTTAGGAGGATGACTTCCAGCGATGGCGACGAGCTTGGTTCAGGATGTGCTGCGCGACCACCGTGCAGAAGCAACCTGTAGCCCGCTACTCTTGATCCGGCACGACCTGTACAGTAGACCCGCGTCCTACAGTGAAACAGCACAGCACACCATATCATAGTATATGTTTATACAAGATAATGCAGCATATTGTCACAACTTATAATATACTGCTTTATATCTTAACACTGAAGCAACTTGGGCTTTTGCTCTGCAGTGCTCGTCTGAAGTCTGCATTGGAGGTCAGCAGGCCGTCCTCATCATAAACCGCCTCCGGTGCTGCTCTGACATCTCTGATTCTCTCAAAAGCCCCTACTGGATATGCGGGGTAATACGATGCATACATGCGTACATACATACATCCATGCATGCATACATACATCCATCCATGCATGGATGCATAAATGCACGCATGCATGCGTGCATACATACACATACACATTGTCTACAATGTAAGAAAATCTGCTCCAGTAGAACATAATGAGATATGATAAAGGTGTATACAAATATATGCATATCAAAACGTAAAAAACAAAATAACATAGTATAATACAGCAGGAGCTATGATTATCAAGTATAAGACAATATGAAGCAAAATGAACAATAGAACACCATAGAAAATAATACAACACAATCTAAAGCATTATAACAAACATGATACGATGCAGCGCATTATGATGATATGGTGTTGTATAAAGCGGCATGATATGGTATGATATGACAAAAGGCAATATACAATGATGGCTACTATAAAGTGTTTGAATATTCTAACTCACGCTGTATTCAAAAGCGTTATATTATATGTATACCATAATATAGCAGAACACATTTATGACAACTGCAGTATAATGCAAATTAGGAGTATGTAATACAATGATTAGTAAATATATTACGTTATGTTCTTGTATGCTATACTATGTGATGTTTTGTTATGCTTGACCATGCTGTGCTTCCATGTTATGCAGTGTTCTGTTCTGTTCTGTTCTGTTCTGTTCTGTTCTGTTCTGTTCTGTTCTGTTCTGTTCTGTTCTGTTCTGTTCTGTGATGTCACATTGCATTACAGTACAATACATGTTTCCATTTTTGAGTAAATGTTTAGTACATTACGGTTTGGCTATGTGAGGTTACATTGTGTTGTAGATTACGTTAGATTCTGTTTATTTAGATATATTGCATTACACTGTACGGTACTGTACTGTACTGTACTGTTATCATACCACTCTGTTACATTGAGGAAAACATTATGCTGTGATATGTTATATTATACTGTATTGTATTGTCTCACATTATATTATACTGAGTTGTATTAGAATATGCAATAACACACTCATTATGTTATAACCTACTATATTATATTATGCTGTATTGTATTATACTGTATGTGTTTCATTATACTATATTTTGCTGTAGTATACGATGGTCTACTATATAATACTATAACATACTATACTACACTATGATATGTTGTAATTCAATGGAAAACCATATCCCGTCGTTTCTACTACTATTGATATATTACTTCTGTTTGTACTACTGCATCACATACAGTATACTGTAGAACATATACATGCATGATATGCTTCTACGTATTGTATCCTATGTCTTTCCTGTCCCGCCTGTCTGTGAACCGGCACGTGGAAATATCGCGCGATGTTCTCGCGCAGCACCTTGGCCTTGGAGAGAACGAGTGAGGAAAACTGCCCTTCTTGGAGGTTCATGGGTAGTTATAAGTGGGGTTATAGGGTTCCTTTAAGGGTTTGGGGTTTAGGGTTTAGGGTTCATGGGTAGTTATAAGTGGGGTTATAAGTCCCCTAATATGGGTTCTAGTTATAGTTACCCTACTTATAATAGTTATAAGTGGGGTTATAAGTCCCCTAATATGGGTTCTAGTTATAGTTACCCTACTTATAACCCCACTTATAACTACCCATGAACCTCCAAGTTGTCTCCTTCCCAGTGCTCCGCACTCGTCCGCTTTTGGATCAGTGCGGGCGAGGGATCCAGCAACTTGAGGCTTCCGATCAATCCTGTCAGAATCGAGCAATCCTAGAACAAGGGCTCCTGCAAAGGCCGGCGTCCGCAGGAAGTCGCTCATCTCCTCCAAGCGTCTCTGCAAGCGTCTGCCGGATGTCTGCTACTGTCTTGTGCGTGCCTGTGCTGATGGGCCGCAGTTGCAGAGTTCAGGATTGGCTATTCCCCGCAGCAGCATCCGGAAACTCATTTGAATCCTGGCTAGACTGCCTCAGACTAGAGGCACGTCCTTGGTAGCCTGCTACAAGTCCGCATGGACAGTAAGTGTAGGGAAAAGGGACAGCACGCCAACGAAGGCGAGCAAACGAAGGCGAGAAGTAATCAGGATGACTTAGTATAAGTACAAGGAGCACGGTCACTGAAACCAGGGTTTCTGATGTTTTCTGCGGTGTGTAGGGACCACTGTGCTGACGCGGCTGAAGGTCTGCTCTCCGTCCATCGACGAATTCAGCCGAGCCAGACTTCAAAACGCAGATCTCAGCTCGTAAAGTTCGCAGAGAGCGCCTCCACGCAGAACCAGTCGTGGAGCATGCCGGCCACCTGCGCCACCCGTGCTGCCAAAACCATGTTCAAAAAAAGAAAACTCCATCTGTGCCGATTCCGCCGTTGCTCTTTGAGGTTTGCCCGATAGCATAATGTGAGGGTTTCCGAACATAGGGGAACCCTGATATAGTACCCTAATAGTAGGATCCTTATTCACCCCTTGTTTTTTGGAAACGCCCATGTGGGCTTGAGTCGCCGATTCTGAACCTCACAACAGGAGATCTTACAACGCCGTGTGGCGGCAAATCTGTGTGAGTCCAAGATAGCGACATGAGCAGTCCGGTTCAGGCACCCTGCACCTCAACCCGGAGGATGCGCGAGGTGTGTCGTGAGGCCTCAACATGTAGCAGCCGTGGAAGCAAGGCGTAGGCTCTACAACCCGCTTATGCACTTGGCATGGACACTGATTTCGTGGCGTGGACCTTATCCTGTAACTGTCTCTGCGCGAAAATGGAAGCTGCGCTCAAGTACCCATGTCGCACTGAGACTTGGAGCTGGTAGAGTTGCGAAGGAAGCAAAACATGGCAGACAGAGACTACTTCGAAAACCTTGTGCTTTGGTCGTCACTAAAGACTTTGCATGCGAGGATGGCATGCGAGTAGAAGACGTTGGCATGGGGTTACATCTCATTACCAGCGGTCTTGTCATGTTTGCAAAAAGTCAGCTGGGGGGTGTTCTCTCAAGGCTTAGGCCGTTGCTTCCCTTTGGCCCGGCAGCCTCTGCCTTTTCTGAAGTCTGGATCTGCAAAAGCGCCAGGCCTTGCCTTGCTGAACTCCGACTCTAGCTCCGAGGGTGGCCTGGCGAGGCGAGTCTAGGACTCTACTTGGAGGTTCATGGGTAATTATAAGTGGGGTTATAAGTCCCCTAATATGGGTCATAATTATAGCTACCCTACTTATAACCCTACTTATAACTACCCGTGAACCTCCAAGTCGGACTCTAGAGTTCAGGCATGCCTGCGCGAAGTGAGAGTGTGGGCGTGGGACTGGGAAAGGGTGTGGGCGAAGGCGACTGCTGAAGTTTGGAGTTGCACTGGACGTCTCAGCCAGGGTTCTCTGCTGCATCATGCCATGGCAGGTTAATCATATTGGTCGTGCCTGCGACAAAGGCTCGAGTTACTCTAATTTTAACAGTTTAACCCTGGATACAGCCTCGGTATGCCTCGGTCGTAAGATTCGAACATCCCCCGGAAATGCTCCAAGTACCGAACTGGCTCCAGCCGCCTGGCAGCTGCAGCTGGTGATGAACGCTCGGCATCGGCAATGAGCTTAGCCAGACCTTCTCAGAAAATTCTTTAGATCGGCACCCTTGCAGTCATGCATCCTTCTCTCTGGCGGTAACCCTTATAGTACCCTTTATAGTAACCCTTAAAGGAGCCCTTCTATAGCAACCCTTAAAGGAACCCCTATTAAAATCATGAGTGCCCCTAATGCAACCGACTAAGAGCCCGACTCATGAGGACTCACTGGCCATTGCCGAGCATGGGCCAGGCCGCAGAAAGGGTTGCAGATTGGGTCGCTATAAGGCTCCTTTAAGGGATCTAGAAGAAGGTTCTATAAGGGCTCTATAAGGAGTCCTGTAAAGGGTCATACTTGGAGGTTCATGAGTAGCTACAAGTAGGGTTATAAGTAGGGCAACTATAATATGTAACCCCTATTAGGGGACTTCTAACCCCACTTATAACTACCCATGAACCTCCAAGCAAGGATCTGCAGCTTTCGTCTGAAGCTTCCGGATGCTGGTCGCTTGAAGTAGGCAAGGAAAGACCACAGAAGGGGCGTTGCTTCCGATTTGCTACCTTCTACCGGCCATGTGCTAGTTGTACACGACTGAGAGCAGCCAAAGTCAGCTCGGGCCGGCGCAATCGAGCTCTTGGAGAAAGAACAATCGAAATCAGAATACGACAAGGCGAGTGAACTGCAGCCTGAGGCCCTACACCGAAGACGTCCCAAACGCCGCAACTCGCAGCCTTTTTCGGAGGAACCGGGTTGCACCGACGGCAAGCCAAGTGCCGCCGTATGCAAGACAGTAACGCACCACCGGCCAGCACGAGATCCGGTCGGGTTTCTCTCGTGTCAGGGTGAAAATCAGGCCGGACACGATTCTGCCTGTTGGCCTCGTTGAGTTTAGAAACTTCTGCAGCTGCACAAGGGGGTGCTGGTAATCCGTGGTCGCCGGTGGTGTACTCTAGGAACCCCTTGGCTAACTCCAGGACTCTGGGAAGAGCGTCCCATCGGGCATGAACACTGCCTTCGCAAAATTATCGCAATCGTCTTTCAGGCAGCCATTCAGTCAGTACGCATGAAAACACTCCCGCAGTATGATCACCGTGAAATGGTTTTTGCATTGCAAATCAACCCCGGCCTTGCCAAACACAAGAAATCTTCTATCGATTGCCCCCTTCAGTTGAGTCTGCCCATGCGAATCCAAAGCTGAATGGCCTACCAAAGCTTGAGTTTAGGTGATCAGGCGTTTGGGCTGTGTGTCCAGACAGAGTCTTGGAGTATGCCTTATCTGAAAAAGATAATTGGGCCCTCTGTTCAGCCTGCCGCGTCCTTTGCACCGGTGAAATCCTGTCGCACTGCGGCGCCATCACTCCGCCCATGTTTGACGTACGACTCGACCAACCGCAGACACAGTCTGAGGGAAGCCCTTCGAGGCACATGCCAGCTGAACAGATGGAAAGATGTCCGAGGCAAAGTGCATCCACTGGGGGCGTAACTCGCCACTGTGCAGTGCAGGCAAAGATCACCCTGGCAAGAGCTCCCGGAAACATCATCAACAACTACATAAATGTACTTATGCTGCCGCACAATTCTTCGTGAGTATCCATCCCCAGTTTGGACACACTGCCTGCATCTCGTGCAGTCTGGAAAAGAATTCTTCAAGAGTTTCCATCACTCTGCTCCGATGAACAGACTTTTGAATGTCTTCTGCGCAGGCCTTAACCGGCGCATCTTCTGAAATTTCTGGTCGAAGTAGGCTGACGAAAGCTCCCAAAAAGAGATTACTGCCTATGTGTCTGGGCCCTTGGGACTCTGACTCTGCAACCTTGGCCTGCGACCCCGAGAAGGTTCAAGGAGCAACAGCCCACGAAAGTCCAAGGCGAAAAGCTCCACATCCGGCAGAACAGGCCACGCATCCCGCTACCCACGAAAGTCTGAGTGCCCTGCCTCTGACAATAACCGTGTGCAACTGCACATGAGCCTAACAAAAAGATACCTGCAAATTGCCATCATGCGAATTCTAGAATGTAGTCGAGTTTTGGTATCCGCGTATCGAGGCGCACAAGAACCCTCCCATTCTGCACGAGAACATAGAGGCGCTGCTAAGTACTTCTGGTCTACCGGTAACAGCATGGGGAGCTTGAATATGTAATGTAGGGGCCTTTATAACTAGAATAGGGTCTTGGGGTTCCTTATAATAAGCATGGCATAACATACTCCCAAACCCTATTCCAACTACTCAGGCCTTCATATGAATAGTTCTCTAAATTAGGGTCCCCTTTGGGGTCCTTTTTAGAAGGGTGCCGTACTATAATGGGGACCTAAAAAGGGGCCCTAATTTAGAGAACTACCCATATGGGGAGTTCCGAAAATAGGTGACCCTAATATAGTACCCTAAATAATAGGATCCCTATTATAAGGACCCCCCAACAAGGTACCCTAATTTTCTGAAACTCCCATATGTAGGTAAGAATTCAGTTGGGGGAGCTCCTCTCTTGCTACCAGCAGCTCGACATGATACTATCTAGGGGTTTAGGGTTTAGGGGTTTAAGGGGTCAGGGGTTCAGGGGTTTAGGGGTTCAGGGGTTCGGGGGTTTAGGGGTTCAGGGGTTTAGGGTATCTTTTGTTTGTGGGTGCAGAAGCCCTCTCCTCATACTAAGGTACAGACAGGAGCTCTCTTATTCCTTGCTAGAGGGACTCTCTTCTGCGTTCCCCAATCCAAGAGACAAAACCTTTGCTTGTAATGTGAAACCGTCAGACGACGTTAGACAACGAGTGGCATATCAAAAGGGTGTGGGCCATGGCGGACATGTGTGTATACCTACAGATGCATTTAGCATGATGTGCCTGCACAGTGTCAAAGTTCTTATTTCCAAGTGAAGATAGAACAAAGTGACCCACCCAGCACCAGCACGAATAGCACTGCACGGACAAGAACTGACGGTATGACGGGAAGAACCGTGGTCGTGACACGAGTCATGTCACCATGAAGGTTGACATATGTTGACATCCATGAAGCATTATGATGAACAGACATGAAAAGCATGCCCTGCTATATATACATATATATATACATATATATATATATATATATGTATGTATACTGTGATGCAGCAAGATTCAGTAACAACCACGAAGAGATTTTGCAGTAAGAGCATGTGGGCTCAAGGCGACAGTGCCTTCAGTACTATGGAGTCATAAACGCCGAACCATTGCAGTACCAACATCACCCTGATTCAAGACCTTGTGACATTTCCTAAACCTAGCATCGTGACAGTGCTGTGTTCGTGTCTTACGGCATCATGTTACCACAACACCACACAAAGTCATAATGGCATGATGCTCTTATCTTTCACTTGTATCTTGGTATTCAGTGATCGCAACTCTGACACATTCGACTGTATTTGTATTGTTCTCACAGCGAGGGATGTGTTTCTTTATACCCATGTGGTCACAGAATTTAAAGAGTAGCAAAACCGAGCTGCAATCTCCTCGAAGTTTCGAAAACTAGACGTAGGCAGTAATAACAGAACAAGAGAGAATAAGAAAACATTGGGCATGACAAACTTAATGCATGACCATCGAGTACTTAATGTTAACCTTCGAGACATTAGACACATAACAATGCAGTCACGCGATCGGGCACTGGCGGAGGAACTCGAGCTAAACAAGATTCAGTCATGACTCCATGAATCTATGACCTAGTATGATATAGTATGGTATGGTATAGTATAGTAATGGTTCAGAACAGTATAGTATGGCACGACCTGAAGATCCCCACAAGCCCGTAACGCGTGGCCGCTCTGCCACGGAGATCCGAACCCAGTCCCTACGAGTATGCCAGCTCGACTTTAGCGGCAGGCCCGGTCAAATACAAATTCGAGTACTCGGCCACTGGAATCTCCTGCATCAGAGTTCCGGGGATGGTCGGCTACTGTCTCTAGCTTTGTCAACGGCATTGCAGGCATGCGAGCTTCACTCAGTCATGAAGCTACAGCCCTACAAGGACCTCCTTGGGCTGCTTCACGACCCGCCGCGTGTAGCAGTAGTTGATGACCTATCAGTTAAAACTCGTCGCGGGCCAGCATGCCACCGACAAGTTCTTGACTGTCCACACCACCTCCATGACAATGGCGAGCAGCAGGAACGCCTGGCAGCAAGCAAGGAAGGTGCAAACAGTCGGTCTTCTTCAAAGCAGCTCGGGTGTATAAAGAAGCTCTAGATGAGTCAGCCACTTATCCCGTGATATCCAGTGCGACAATCTACTATAATCATAATCGTTTCAATTTGTCACTCTCAGGACAAACCAAACCTTTGGTCGGCGCTGCCTTCAAGACCGAGAAATCTTTCTCCCGAGCCACCAGCACCGTAAAGCCATAGGTCACAACCAAGGAAGCCGCATTGCAGATGTTCCTCGAGGAGACTGGTGCGAAACAAGCGAGTCAAGAACTTCAGGTGAATGTCTCAATGCATTGGGCAGCACTGCCCTGGTCACGCTTCGAACATGCAAGTGCGGGATTCGCAGCGGCACGGGATGTCGCGCAGTAGCTTGCTCCCAACCGCACATGCCCTCTGGAAAACAAGGTAACATGGCAACTCCTCTGTGGGGGTTTCCGAAAATAGGGGACCCAAATATAGAACCCTAAATAGTAGGATCCCTATTATAAGGACCCCAGAATAAGGTACCCCTTGTTTTCGGAAACTCCCCTGTCATCATTCCAAGACCCTTCCGTCTGACGGGTAGTTGAACGGCAAGATGCTTGACCAACGAATCGAAGTGCTTGACACACAAGCCTAAGCTTGTGACATCGGCAACAGAGGGCTTCAGGGCTTCAAGAGTCTTTGATACCGCGTGCACATCGGCTGCTTTCTGGCTTCGATCAGGCCTTGGGGCATCCTGCTTCCACTCTTTTCTTTAGCGAACTTGAGACGGGCTAAACCTGGAATCGAACTCCACGGAACACTAAACATATTATAGGGGAAAAAATATTTTTTTCCCCTATAATATGTTTAGTACTGTCAAGAAAAGGCCCAGCATTGCAGCATTGCCGTGGAGAGACTATTCATGGCAGGACCATGCTGCTATAATAGTCGCAAACAACTTGAGCTCGTCAAACACTAGTATAGTATGGTATAGTATAGTGTAGTCTAGTATAGTATATATATATATATATATATAATATAGTATACAATAGTATAGTATGGTATAGTATAGTATAGTATAGTATAGTATACTGAATTTGGGAAGGAGGGGGGAATGCCAGCTTAACGCACGAGCGGCTGCAGATCCACTCCCGCCAACAGTACATCGCGGCCACGATCATGGTTTTTCTGGACCACGAACCATCCTGTCCACCTGAGGCACAGGTGGCAAATCGTCGCGATGGTGCTCAAGATTCTGTCAGGAACACTTGGAGGTTCATGGGTAGTTATAAGTAGGGTTATAAGTAGGGTAACTATAGTTATAACCCATATTAGGGGACTTATAACCCCACTTATAACTACCCATGAACCTCCAAGCAGTGAACGAAAGACTGCGCGAAGAGCGAGGCTGCATCTTCAAGACATGTGCATCTGGACATCCCTGGCCCTGGCCGGGTTCAAGCCATGATCTCCTACCTAAGAGCGAGATCGGCATGTACGCAGACAGCAGCTTGCAACCGAGGAGCTAAAAAATTGTGTTGGATCCTCGTTCTGCACCCCGCATATGAACAAATATGCGGTTGTAGCTGCGATGATGCTGCTGAACGACACCTTCCGGGATCTTCTAGGATCGGGAGGCCAGAGGACTCACGGGACCTACTGCAGTGCAGCATCTAGCTGATGCAGCCCCGATCTGACAGAAAGGTCCTGTCGGCTTCTACCGCCCAGTCGGTATTTTGTGGCTGGGAGCTCGTCGGGGCAATGCATTTCACAACCACACGAACTGATTTCGGCATTCCCAGAATGGCTGAAGCAAGTTCCTGGGCGCCGATTTCGGCATCCTCGGCCCGGATGCAAGCGCGCCTGCGTCATCTGAACGTGGAGTCGCATGGGCTCGCCAGCACCAGACTTGAAGCACATCTCCACGTAAACCTAAGCACTCTTGCACGGATTCTCAAAGTCAGGATTGATTTCGGATGTACATGATGTGGTGCTGTGAAGTTCAAGATCCTGTCGGAACTGCGAAGCTCGCAAAAGCGAATTTGAAATGTGCACATGGGTCCCAATGCATCGGGCTCAAGAGAAAGCCTAAGCCAGAGGGACAGGATGCAAAGGATTGCAGAGTCGCAATGGCCCGCCCAGCTACAGAGATGAGACGCCCGCACACCTGACCTTCGCGGCTTGAAGCGGCTTCGTTTTCTGTTTGTGCAGGTTCTGGGGCTCTGTGATGCCAAGTGGCTGAGCTGAGCACGGAGAGGGTTACCTGGCCGGATACAGCAGCAACTGTGCCGAGGCTGGATGCCTCTCTCTCTCGCTCTTTCTTTTGCCAGGGTCATGGTGGGAAGTTGCCTCTCCCTCTTCCTAGACGTGGAGTGCTTAGTCCCTGCCTGCGGAAGACATGTCTACACTCCGGTGAGGATTATTTGTTAGTCGCCCCCCTCTTGACTTTCGCAAGAAGTGCAAGTAGCTCTCGAAACAATTATGGCACAGCGGCCACCATTCATGCTTCAATCACGTCAACAGCCCAAACCTACAGCTCCTGATGTACTGGACGCATAGAACTGTGCAGAAAAATGGGCCTTGCACATTGCAAAGAGCACCCCGGCAAGCTGCTCCTGGGAAATATGGGACTTCACGCCATCATCTCTGCGACTTAAGAGTTCTTGCGTGGCTTTGGTCAAGCTGCGCCAGGGCATCCACAACTTCCATGTGACTTGGAGGTTCATGGGTAGTTATAACTGGGGTTATAAGTCCCCTAATATGCGTTATAGTTATAGGTACCCTACTTATAGCCCTACTTATAACTACCCATGAACCTCCACAGTATGACCCCTTATAGACCCCTTATAGGACCCCCTTATAGATCCCTTAAAGGAGCCCTATAACTACCCATGAACCTCCAAGCATCCTCGACTTTAGAATCTGCATGGGAACTCTGCTACAACCCTAAACCCTAAACCCTAAACCCTAACTGCAAGATCTTCCGAAGCTCCTGCGCCTCATCTTCCGGCATGGGAGAGTGGCGCTTCAACTGAGGTGTGGCAGGGGAAGACGGGGCGGTTTAGGGTTTAGGGTTTAGGGTTTAGGGTGCCCTGATTCATTACGACTTGCCAATTCAGGACGAGCTGGCCATTTAAATTCTCGTGTCCCACGGATGCATATCCCGACCTTCTGTTACGTGCGGTGTAGGATGTGCCCCCACAGCCATGCACATGCATGAGCTCGACTTTTGTTTTGTCCTCCGCAAAAAGCGGTTGGGTTTCCTGGGTTTTCTGGCAGCATTAGAAGTGGATTCATTCATGTTGCGATATCCAAGGACAAGACATCCCCATCAAGGTCCTGTGCAGGGTTTAACGCAACATCACCCGCACCCATGAAGCCCCGTGAAACACATCAGACATGAGCAGAGGGCCCTCAATCGTTCAGAGGCCCTACCGGTAATGTCTAATTATGGAATAACGATGTCAAGTCGTGGCTGCAGCGCATGGCAGCAGAGAACCGTGCAGGAGATGGTTCCATATCGGCTGTCTGGGTTTTCTGATCAAGCACAACTCAATAAACGGTGGAAGCTTTAATCAAATCCTCATATGACATCGTTTGGTTGCTTCGGTTTGTCTCTGCAGGGAGCTTGAGGAGAGTATGCTTCCTGTGGTGCGCTGGGAACACAGAACCACAAGTTTCAAAGGCGAACAGCTCAAGCGACCAGCTGTGACAATCAGCATACAAGCAGCAAGAGCAAGAGCAAGGAACTAGAGACCTCAAGAGCAATCTTCCAACCCTTCTCGAAAAAGAAGCCGACGCTCCGACACGGTACGAGTAGATCACGGTAGCTCCTGCAGTCTACTACCAGAAGTCCTTGAAGTCCCAAAACTTATCGAAGACATCGGAGGCGCAATGACACAAACCAGGGTGTGTTTTGACGTGTCTTTTCCACCTGCCCGTTAAGTTAGGTTGAACAAACCAGGGTTTATAGGATTTAGGGCTAAAGCTCAAACCTCAGAATGTGGAGGTTCTCTTGTAGTGGAACGGCGTTGCCGCATGGGCAGCTGTTGCCCTCAGACGGCTTGCATCACGAGTGTTCCCGATAGCAAAGATGCCGTGTTGGGTTTGCAACGACAGTCCCGAAGATTCCCGAAGCATGGAGTTTGAATGGATTTCGTGTCAGCGGATTCGGAGGATAATTTCACAAAGTTGCCGCAAAGAGACTTCAAGGTTCTCATTGCTAACGTTCGGCGCTCATTCGAGAACTCGGCGAAGACTATGAAGACACCAGCTGCATCTGCCGAACTATTCGGAGTATGTTGGCAATCGATGCGAGACATTGGGATACGCTTGACATTGGCTCCTCAAGACCGGAAAACACTTCACCCGAGTGGCGGTGATCTGGAGGCTCTCATGATGCAGCCGCCATTCGAAGAGCCGCTCAGCGTTTGGCCGCGACTCATCCGGAGTCATGCCTGGAAGCGCAGACACCTACTTCTATATGATTCTAGATTGTGTTATGTGTTTCACCATGTCATGTCGAATTGTGCTGTAGTAAGATGTCGTATGTATACTATCCTAATTGTATCTTATGTGATGAGTATTTTGCCATGTTCATACCATGTTGTGTTATACTTTCCCATGCTACACTGTACTATACTAAAACATGTGCTACATGACTGTGCATTGTGCTGTATTGTAATACTCTTGTAGGATATTTACCCTACAACAATTCGTTATAATTTTCTTGTCTTTTGGACTCCATTAGATTTTGCTGCCTTGTGTTTTCCAGTTTTATTGTGATGGTCCTTCTAGAACAGATTGTGCTGATTTTGATGCTGATATTGTTACGATGATTTTTTCACTGTCACTACCGGTCTCATTCTCATGTTTGTTATGATCTGTCTAGCTTCAAGAGTTAACTGTCTGCATTACTTGTTCTTCCTATTGACCCGTCATGATTATGAGCAATGCAGGGGCCTTAATAATCAGAATAGGGTTTTGGGGGCTCTTTATTATAATCATAGTACAAGATACCCCAAGACCCTATTCTAATGATTGAGGCCCCTACATCACTTCTGCTCGAAGGCTCTTCGAAGGGTCTTCCAAAACTTCGACGGCTATTTCCTGCCGCGGCACAGTAGGCCATGCAAATGAGGGAGAGGCAGGCAAGAATACCTGGGCAAGGAATCGGCCTCTGAATGGCAAACTCCAGCTTTTGAAAGGCAGAACTTGAGGCTAAGCCACGGCAACGGTTTAGGGTTTAGGGTTTAGGGTTTAGGGTTTAGGGGTGAGCATGTTCAGTACACTGTGCTGATTTGTGCATGTTGCGAAGACGCACCAAAATCCCACGTCCAACGGCACCGCTGCGGGAACTAAAACGTAAAACGCCTGAATTCTTGGGCCCTACACCCTCAGACCATCTGAGGCCCGGACCCCACTGGAGGCCGCTCTGCCGCAGCCCACAAAACACCCAGGCTGCAGCGGCGCTGGAGAGAAGGCGGCCCTGGGCAGAAGCGAAGCTCTTAATGTAGAGAGCTGCGTAAACATGATTAGAATGAACATGGGTAGTTCTCTGAATTAGGGTCCCCTTTTTAGGTCCCCAATATAGTACGGCACCCTTATAAAAGGTCCCAAAAGGGGCCCTGATTTAGAGAACTACCCACAAAGCAACGATAACAAGAAATGTGATTGATAGTCATTGCTCTGTGGCTACCTTGCGAGAAGATTGCACAGGTGCAGGAAATCGTGGACTCTGAGTCAGCGTGTAGAAAAGTCTTGCTCTGAGGTGTTGCCGTCTCAGATTCACCGCAGATGCAGTGTCTCTTGCTCCGTCTGTCACAAGATCATCAATGATTTGTGTGGGCTTAGCAGATACCCTGAGAACTGGTAGTTGCTCGTCGCGACAGTGCTCTCAGCACATCCCCCATGCTTTCAATACTCTCTGTTCGTGCGCTCCACACCCGAAAAGTGGCGGGCATGCCCGGAAGTTGCATCTTGCGCGGCAAAGATAGATTCGACTCCCAGCCCTGCCCTGCAATCTACGAAGCACGGCTGTTTGAACACGTGGGGCAGTTCGAATCGCAAAACCCGACAAACGATATACTCAGTGTAGCATGCATGATCATTATCAAAATTTGTCAACCAAGGCTAGGCCGTGCGGTTCAAGCGGCACGTCTGCAAATAACAAATGTCTCTTCGCAACTGTTTCAGAAATCTGGCAGCCGTGCCTGGCTCAGCACTCCGTACGTTGCAGGATCCATTCGTGCTACGGCCATGACCTGCTTCAGATGACGGCTTACCATGCAGGCGTTAATTTCTTCAAAAAAGTTATGAACTAATTACTGTGAGCTACGGGGCCGAAGGGCTACTGGGGTCGTTCCGAGCATCTTCAATCCGAGTTGAGGGGATCTGTTAGGTGAGCGGCCGACAGCCAGTTTGGTTGCGCGGCCTGGGGGCGATGCTGCGCGTAGTACGGGCCGATCTGGATCTTTCCGAGATTCTGTCGACAGAACAACCGAAAACCCCGAGAACCCTCAGAACTTTCTTTAGCTCTGGCTCTTGAGCAGTCTTCATGTTTCTGGTATGATTTGCAGTCTGGATCTACCAATGGTCGACCTGTACCGGCCTCGCAAGCATCAGCCATGGCCCAACCAATGCCCGCAGGAGCGAACGTCAAAATCGAGCGCAAGTCGAAACAGCGCCTTCCGGAGAGATGATCGGTTTTCTACTATAATAGAATATAATAGAATATAATCGAATATAATAGAATATAATAGAATATTAATATAATATACCAGAATATAATTTGATCGGTTTTCAATGCTTCCATGCTTTCTGGGCCTCAGGTGCCCAGGAAGAGGTTTCTGGGCATTTCGGCGGTCTGACGGGTCTGGGCCTCGTAATGCTCAGTGAGTTTTGAAACTCTGGCTCTTTAATGATCTTTATTATTATCATTCTGACGGTTCTTGTGTTACGTTAGTCTGATTCGTAGAGTATTCTGTTTATTATTAGTAGTAGTAGTGTTGTTCTTATGACTGTTCAGCATTACTTCTCTTAGTGCTAGTATGCGTTAGAGGCTGTCATGCTAAGGCCTGGCACAAACCGCTCGGAAAACGGACACTGCGTCTCATCCCGCCGGCCTCACATGGTGCCGACCCCCTGTGGCGGCACTCAGCAGGAGGCCCACTGTCGCGATGAGCAGCCAAGAAGCCTTCAATCTACGGGGCTTGGGAAATCTTGCGCAAATGACTACTAACAAGGAGTCCTGAAGATCAGCTAGAGCTACCTTGCAGCTTTGAGAAGCTTTAGCCATACTAGCACGTAAAGGATTCCGGCCAAGCGGCCACGATGACTGAGCCCTCCTTGAAGGGACGTCCTCCGGGCAAAGCTAGACGACATGTGGTCTGCACGGCATCCGGTTCGAGAGCGTTTCCTTTTCGGGCTTTCGCCGATTGCGAGAGTTGCTTGGATGGCTGAGTATCAAGCGGATGAGGCTACACTCGGATCGAGAAAGAAGCAGGGCTTGCACTGGATCGTCTGACAGAAGGCTCCAGACGACTGGCCTCAATTGAAACTCGGGCCTGTGCGAGTCTGCGAGCTTAGCCCACATTCAAGAACAACAACTGACAGTGTCATGATGAGGCGGCATCAACTCCATCTTCGGAAAGTGTGGCGCTGACACCCGCTCCGTACCCTGCAATAGGAGAGCTCGAATCTTGACTTCGAGTGGCCTTTGATTGCCACACCGTCGGCGCTGTGACCCACAATCTTCGCCCAGGACCTGAGCTCAACAACTCCAGGCGTGGGCTTTTGGCAACTATTTGGGGTCGGGTGGGTGGACCATGCATGAAGCAGGCGAGGAATGCAACTTCCGAAACTTGCAACATCTGGGGGTTTCCGAAAATGGGGAACCCTAATATAGTACCCTAAATAGTAGGATCCTTATTATAAGGATCCCTAAAATAAGGTACCCCTTATATTCGGAAACTCCCACATCTTGCAACTCTGCACTTCGCTAAAACCCGGCCCGGCCCAGCAGCCATACGGCAGCTGCACGGGAGCCTAAAGTCAGCAATCCACTGCATCCCAAATCCTCTACTTGGAGGTTCATGGGTAGTTATAAGTAGGGTTATAAGTAGGGCAACTATACTTATAACCCATATTAGGGGGACTTATAACCCCACTTATACCTTAGCTCTCTTCGTCTAGCCTCTTACTCTCCCCTAAACCCTAAACCCTAAACCCTAAACCCTAAACCCTAAACCCCAAACCCTAAACCCCACTGATGCAGCTGCAGTCGCACGGTAAGTGGGCACGCTGCGTAGGTGCCGACCTCAGGAGCTCTGCGGGATTGGGTTCTTCGGGCGTCGGACAGAGAGACTCAGCGGTCTCTACTTGGAGGTTCATGGGTAGTTATAGGGCTCCTTTAAGGGATCTATAAGGGGGTCCTATAAGGGGTCTATAAGGGGTCATAATGTGGAGGTTCATGGGTAGTTATAAGTGGGGTTATAAATAGGGTAACTATAGCTATAACCCATATTGGGGGACTTATAACCCCACTTATAACTACCCATGAACCTACAAGTATGTCAGGTGGCATGAGGCAGCCCAGCAGGCTTGATTGCAGCTGGAGCGCAGGCACGTGAAGCAGAATACTATGATTACCATTACCACTACTGTTGCTAGCACTACTACTGTTCATACCAAAGGCTGATAGCTTCTCCAGATCGCTGCTCCCCCAGCGTCGACTGGGGCCCGCGGCAACCAGCAGAAGGGTCACTGCCTGCCTTGGCAGGAGATTTTTTTGACTCGAAAAGGAGTTTGCTCTTGTATTATAAAGAAAACTAGATGGTTTATGTTATGTATGATATACACTATAGTACGTAGTGTTTATCGGGATATTCGGGCTCCGGGACTCGAAAGCTCTGCACTTGATGCCAGGGCTCTCAGAACACTGCATCCAGGCGGCACGGCCAGTCCCAGCTGCGTTTGCAGCCGTTGCCAAAGACGAGGATCTTTGGCCTCTCAGCGTCGCTTGAAGCTATAGAACAGCATAGACCGTAACATAACACAATGTGATATGACATCATACAGTACAATGCAATGCGTTATAACTACCTATAATGTAATGTAGTTACGTATCACATCATATGATATGACATAAGTCAATTTAACCTGATTTTTTAAACTTAAGATCATATGATAACATATTGCGTGAGGGTTTGGTATCGAAGATACGCTATATGCTCACCTCACCGAGCTTGTTGTTGTTGTTGGGTATTGCCAATGTTGAACTCAAACTCGCACAGCAGTGACGCGAAGCGATCCCCTCTTTTGCTCTCGTCTGGCCGGACGAAGTGTCTTTGCAGTCGGGAATGGCTCAGTCCTCTACGTTGTCGAATAAGCAGTAAG